CTTTATCATTTCAAGTTACATAATAATGTAACCCTTCATCACCAATCCTATCTTACTTTCCCGTAATGCATATAATTCAACTCGAAATTACAATATTTTACTTTAATTAAAATAGATTACCTCTACTAATTACAAATGCAATAAATTTTGTTTTCTTTTCCCACTGGAGTTTGGTTGGTCACGTAAGGGCGTAGGGGTGAATAGGCAAAGTGTTTTACAATTCCCACGAAAATTTAACTCATAGTGCTACGGTAGTAGTTGAAATTTTTATTATTCTGGTACTTGTGCCATTGATGAGGGCGGTTTTTTTTGTTTACATAATGGGATAGTCTCTTTTCATTTTTTAAATTTATTTTACATACATATGATATAATTTAAATTTATAATTTTTTATTAAAAAATTATTTTAAAAATCGTTTATTACATATGTAATAATTTTTTTTTACTCTAAACTCAAAATCTAAAAGCTACATTAAATTCTATTAATATAAAATCGAATTGAATTGAACTCTTTGAGCAAAGTAACTTTTTTAACATTTATTTTTTTATTTATGAAACATAAATTTGAAATTTCATTTTAAAAAATATATTTAAAAAAATCTATACGTTTTCTATTTAAATTAATAGGTCATTGTATGATAAGTTTTTTTAATATCTTTTCTGTTATACCTTATTCCGTTGATGGGTGACCTAAACAATGAACATTAAGGTAATTGAATCAATAATATATTGATTTGAATGAAATGAATTCGATTTTCTTAAATAAAATATTAAGTTTGATTTTTGTAAATGAAAAAATAGATGTTGAGAAAATTTCTCTTTAATAAAATCTGATACAATTTGATTTCATATTAATTAAAATTTAATGTAGTTACGAGAGGTTAATTAAAAAAGAAAATAAAGAAATGAGTGTTGTGGATAAATCACTCGAAATGGTATTTGGTGGAATATTGGCATCCCGATGATAAATGAAGACAGTGATATATCTAATTACTTATTTACGAATTGATTCAGTTGGGTGACTATTAAGTCAGATAAATCAACGTCAGATTAGGTTTTGATGTTGAAAGATGAGCATATATTAACTCTACAGTGTACTCTTCTACTCACTAACTACTCTATCTTTTATAGGTTATTTAGATTAATTTTTTTGAAATAGTTGACAATTGACATTTAAAATCTAATAATTAATAATTTTTTATATTTATAATTTTAAATATTTAATTTATTTAATTAAAAATCAACAATTGATAA